GCAAGAGCCACAATTCGTCCTGGGAGAACTGAACTGAACTGAACTGAACTGAACTGAACAATTCACTCGCCAACTTGGTGAGATGAGATTTTATTTCTCATTCATATTTCAGCTGTGCTGGGTGCCCACTCAGTGAGCATACCATTGAAGAAATTCTGGACGCTCGATTGGCCGTGGCCATATTAAGTCCTGTGCAACCTGACCTGACCTGACTTCAAGACTTGACCTGAAAATCTTGGCGCTGCAATTAATCTCTTGCGGTTCGGCGCGCCAAAACGAGGTTTTATACGTCGAGATGAATCCCCTTGCTCCTACCGCTACAATGCCAGTTGTGCCGCAAGGATTACTCCTAGGAGTTCCTCATGTTGCTCCTCATGCGGTCATACCCGGGGCTGCTCCAGTAGTTATTCCTCAGGCACCCGTAGCGGCGGAGGTTTCGGGTCCTCCAAACAACACAGTGTACATCAATAATCTCAACGAAAAAATCAAACGTGATGAGCTCAAGAAATCACTCTATGCTGTATTTGTTCAGTTTGGAAGAATTTTGGACATAATTACGTGTAAGTTCATTTAGATTTTCCCCCGAATTAGTCGTTGTCATGTTTTTTGCGTAAAACTTCTTAGAAATGCAGGAATTAACCGTAACACTACCTTTTACAGTATATCTGTTTATGTTTATTTTTTCCGATTTCTGAAAGATCGTACTTTAAGTCAGCAATGTGCCAACAATAATCACGCGTTCGAAATGACAAAATTGTCTAACTAAGGAACAGTTTTCCGAAACATGGTATAGAGCCAGGGAATGGAGTTAAGGATGACATCCCCAATACGATTGGGGATTTGGGTTTACTCACAATCTGAGTCCATTAGTTACCCCCCCTGTAGAGAGGTTTTGCTGTTCGGGATCGGTCGGTAGTAAGCAAATGGTGGTCAAAGAAAGGGCCGATGTTTCATTTAGCTGGAGTTCACGGGAAGAGAGATCTAGGTGCGCCATTTGAAAAGATAACAGAATGGTGGATTTAAGTCTAGATATCGGCTTTCAGAAATGACAGAGGAATGAAGAAAAGTGGGCGATTGAAAATGTGTCGTCTTTTGAGGGAGGAACTTGTTTCGATCAAAAATAAAAAGATGGAAACCGAAAAGGAATTCTTAGACTCAACTTCTTCTTCCCGCGAACCTTAGGGAACGTAGTGAGAGCGTAATCAGAAATTGTGCCTGTAAGCTTCTTGATGCACGTGATCGATTTACGAGCCGTGTGATTTCAAATGAAGGACACTACCTTCACGTCCAGCTCAGCAAATGTGTTGTTTATCCATTGGTTCCAAGTATAGGCTTCTCTTTACGTATACCACCACGAAATAGCATAATCTTTATTTGAGAAATCGATCAATTAATTTTCAGTTTTTATTCCTTTCAAATGCAAGTTTTCTTTACTGCAATGTGTTCCAAATGATGAAAATCCACCCCATGGCTTATTTTGACTTAGCTCAATGCGCGTGGAAGTATGAAAGCCGTTATTCATATAATTTGTAATATATACATATATATGCATCTATATAATCGGACAACCTAGATACCTAGATAGTCCTCAATAGGTTGTTCGTGCTGCATAACCGGTTCAGGATGGGGTTGTCTAACGCTGCTTTTGGCTGGTCGCACCGGTGACAACCCCGAATATTGATCTAGCCATCAAGCAGCGGTGATAATATCCCCATTACAGGAAGACAGTAAGTAGGATATCCCCAACAGAGATATCGAATGACTTTCATTAAGAAATCTTTCGAGCAGAGCCTGCGAAGGAGGAATTTATCCAAACGTCCACCCNNNNGTGGTCTCAATAGTGGAATTCCGTCGGTGTCCCCCGGTCGCAGCAGAAAACTTGAAATCAAAAGCGCGTCTTGAGACGAACACGCCAGTGCTCTGTTTCGCATTCTTTAAATTTTAATTCCGAGTTTCAGGGTTGGTAGAGTTACCTTCCAGTAGTTCATGTCGATCATTGCGCTGAAATACGGACGAGAACATCAGTCTTTTTTGAAAAATAAAGCTGTCAAGGCTACACATTACGATGGATTTTTTAACCATCATCATATCCCATAGGATTTGATACGTCTGTGAAGTGTGCTTGATTTATTTTTGAGTAACCCGTGTAGGTTCCATGAGTAGCGATTTTTTTGATTCCCAGTCATCTGTGATATGATGGTGCAGTTTCTGATCCAGGTTATTCATTCTTAAATGCATTTGACTGCAGAGGAACAACAAGGGTGATATGCTCGTTTGATGGATGCTAAACTGAAGTGACATTTACTATCTTTCTGTATATCTCCCTCATGGTCTGTGTTCTGACATACTACTAGCGCCTTGGCATGGCATTGGAAAATGCAAAAATGATCCGGCTGTTTTGATCGTCAGTAATTCCATCACTGTTTTTTCTTAAGTTGTAATTTCACAACAGACTAATACCAACGAACCGATTTCTACGCCTTCCGTGCTATTAACACCCTATCGACGCTGAATAATCGCATATAAACTTTCCTCGGACACTGGATATTACCGATATCATCCCTTGGGCTTTTTATTTTACCATTCAGAAGCTTGGTATAGTTCACTACGAATCGTCCCGTAATTAAATCTCTAGGCGTTAGTGCGGGATAAATTAACTCACCAATTCTTTGTGTTCCGTTTTTAGCGAAAACTCACAAAATGCGTGGCCAGGCGTTTGTTGTATTCGACGATGTAAATAGTGCGGCTACCGCACTCCGGGCAATGCGTGGATTTCCGTTATATGAGAAGCCAATGCGTATACAGTTTGCGAAGGTTGATTCGGATGTCGTGGCCAAGCGTAAAGGTACCTACGTTCCTCGTCCTAAGGTGGCAAACAAGGCGGCAGCAGCCGCCGCTGCAGCAGAGGCGGCCGCAGCGGCTGCCGCATATGATGCCGTGGGACCTCAGGGAGGAACAAGCGCTCGAGCTATTCGACGACGACAACAGCGTGCAGCAGCGGCTGCCGCCGCCGCTGCTGAAGCAGCTGGTGCTGGTGGGGCAGCCATCCCACCACCAGAGGGTGGTCTAGGAGACACCCAAAACCAAGCTCCACCGCCACCACCTCCAATCAATCCCGCTACTATCCCGGATCAGCCACCGAATAAAATTCTTTTCCTTACTAATTTACCCGATGACGCAAATGAAGCTATGATCAGTATGCTGTTCAACCAGTTCACTGGCTATCGGGAGGTCCGCATGGTCCCTGGACGTTCTGACATAGCCTTTGTTGAGTTTGATAGCGAAGTGGAAGCCTCTGCCGCCAAACACGGACTTCAAGGTTTTACCATTCGTCCCGGTGTACCGATCCGCATCACATTTGCCAAAAAATAAACGTGACCAACGCATACTACGTTTACATGGTGTTTCATGCTTTGTGCATCCCGTCCCTCGTCCCATCCAGTGTAATTTTGTTATAAAGCCCGCATTTCCCTGCATACTTGTTTTGTTTTCTTTGAATGAAGGGATTTTGTTTGCCCATTCGGTTTTATTGCCGTTTTTAAATACTGTTTCCATACTTGTCCCTGCAGATTCTATTTTACTCTCTGTACTACGTCCGGTGTCCTAAATCGTTTACGTGGTTGGAGCCTGTCGTAGAGATAATCTACGAAACATTACTATGGTCCTAAAGGTGGTTATCACCGCCGTTTACGTTCTACTTGCAGAGTAGTTGTTTTTACGTTTCGGTTTACTTCGTATGCTATGTATTTTCTGGGATTGCTTTAAACTGAGGTCTCAATTATGGGTTTGGAGTTCTCGTCGAAGTAGTCTGATCGTAGTTGGTATACTGTTAAAGGAAGATTCTTAATCGTTATTTCTAGTGATACGGCACATTTTTCTGGTTTTGTTAGGTTGTTAGTGGTTTTCGGTACTGGAGTCAACTTGTCTAGTTGTTGGCTATTTTCATTTAGAAGAAACACCCGACATCGTAACTGTTGTTGCCCTACCTCTGGTTTCAAATAATGTTTCCTTCGCTACGTACTCCGGCTGATTTTGAGAACGTTTCCAGCTGAGTTGCAACTCCTGAACTTGAGTGCCATGAACTAAGCTAACGAATAGTCTAGCGAATAAGAGTTGTGCTGTTGTGTGCGTAATAAGGAGTGCAGGACCAAGGAAAGCAGGCATAAGTGAGGTAATTAAGGAGTCTGACGCTACACTGATTCAAATTCAGGAACGTCGTCTTGAACGTTGGGCACAACATTTTAAGGCACAGTTTAGCTGGTCCCCTTCGATATAAGACTTTCCCCCATTCGATTCAACTATGCAAATACTGCCAGTTGACATCAGTCCTCCATCTGAAATGGAGGTTACCCGGGAAATAAGTCACCTCAAACGGCATAAGNGCTTCCGGCCCCGATGGGCTGTCCCCATCCGTTTTTAAGAATGGAGGCTCAACCTTGGTTTTGGAGTTGACAAAACTGCTGGGCTCAGTGTGGGAGAGGGAAGAGGTTCCAACTGAATGGTGTGAATCGGTGATCATACCGATTCACATGAAAGGTGGTAGATCCTCCTGTGAAAACCACAGAGGAATTAGTTTAATCAACATCGTCTCTAAACTTCT